TAGCCTCCACACAAAATCTAACCGTTACACACAATTTACCAAACTCGGTGGGACCGAATCGTGAAACTCGGTCAGACCGATTTAGTTCATAATTTGACCGTTAGGCATCTCGGTGGGACCGATATGATCAACTCGGTAGGACCGGTGTGCTATGATTAGGGTAAAGCCTCAACTTGGTTTGACCGATTACACAAACTCAGTGGGACCGATTTGGGTAATGAGAGAAACAGAGAGTTGGCGAGGCAAACTCGTGGGAACGATTGCATACCTCGGTGGGACCGAAAATATTGCAATAGGCAATAGAGAGTTTGCGAGCCCATCTCGGTGAGACCGAGATCCCATCGGTGAGACCGACTTGATTAGGGTTTCTGGCAGTGGCTATGTCAAGAGAACTCGGTGGCGCCGGATAGAAAGATTCGGTGGGGCCGAGTTTGACTTTTGGTTTGGGACATATGTGGATGTGAGAAAGTGGTTGATGGCTTTGGAGCATATCACTAAGCACTTTTAGCAAGCAAGCTATTAAGCAACGCCTCATCCCCTCTTAATAGTATTGGCTTTCCTATGGACTCAATGTGATCTTGCATCACTAAAAGTAAAATGTAGAGTCTTGTGCTTTGAGCTTGAGCCAATCCTTTGTCCTTATTAGCATCTTGAAGGGGTTCCACATCCTATAGTCCATGCCACTCCATTGTTGAACTTATCTGAAACATACTAGGTAAGAGTATTAGTCCAACAAGAGATATGTTGACATTAATTACCAAAATCACCCAGGGAGCACTTGTGCTTTCACACTACTTGCCTGTAGTGAACACGGCTGGAGGGATCCTTGTGGGTCTAAAAAATGATCTGTTTGAGGTGATAGGTTTTGTCAATAAAAAGTTTTGCATTGTTGCAACTGTCAAAAATAAGAGTGATGGGTTCTTGTGGCACTTGGTGGATATCTATGGTACTTCTTATAATGAATTTAAACTGGAATTTATTGCTGAGCTACATGACACTATGGAGGGCCTCACTTACCCAGTTTTGCTGGGTGGAGATTTCAATTTGGTCAGATCGATCGATGATAAGAACAATTGGGTAGTTAATAGTCAGCTATCATATTTGTTTAATGATTGGACTAATAAATGGTCCCTTATGGAGATCAGGAGTGCTAATAGGAAGTACACTTGGAGCAACAACAAGAACAATCCTATTTTGCTGCGATAGATAGAATCTTTACCTCTCGCTCCTGGGATAATGAATTTCCTCTTTCTATGGTGATTGCTCTAGCACGTGTTTGGAGTGATCATACACCGCTGCTTTTAGACACAGGTGCTCAGAGGGTTACCTCCCCAAAAATGTTTCGGTTTGAGAAATCGTGGCTTAACCAACCAGATTTTAAAGATATGGTGAACAAGATATGGAACACTCCAGTCCCTGGTAAAATAGCCATAGATGTTTGGATGAACAAATGTAGATTATTTAGAAAGAAGGTTAAAGGCTGGAGTATTAATACTGAGGCAAGCATGAAGCAAAAAATGAGAGAGCTTTTGGTCGAATTTGATATTCTTGATGTCTTCTCCGAAAGGAATCAAATTAATGATGTAGATAAAGTTAGAATGGAAGAGATTAAGAAAGAGCTTGCTAGTATTTGGAGTAAAGAAGAAACTGCCTTTTGGCAGCGATCCAGAGATCGTAAGATTGTGGATGGTGATAAAAATAATGCATATTTTCAAGCTGTGGCTAACCATAGACATAGGAAGAACCACCTGTCTGAACTGAATGGAGACAATGGCCCTGTTTATACTACCAAAGAAATGTTGGATGTAGCTACTACCTTTTATAAAGACCTATTCGGTGCTGAAGATAAACATAACATCCATCTTTGCCCTTCCTTCTCGGAGGACGGTGACTTGGTCACCCAAGAAGAAAATGACCTTCTTCAGAGAAGCTTCTCTGAGGAAGAAATAAAAGAGGCAATATTTGGTTCTTATGCACATGGGGCCCCTGGTCCTGATGGGTTGTCCTTTCTGTTTTATCAAACCTTTTGGGAGGCGATCAAAACTGATTTTATGGCTTTAGTTAGAGACTTTGAGGAGGGTAAATTGGACATGCAGATATTGAACTTTGCTTTAATTGTTCTTATTTCGAAAGAACATGATGCCAAGGATATGAAAAAGTTCAGACCAATCAGTTTGAGTAATTATGGGATAAATTTTTTCTCAAAAGCTATGACCAACAGGGTTTCCCCCGTTGGGCATAGATTAATATCATCAAATCAAACTGTGTTTATTAAAGGGAGGTATATTTTGGAAAGTGTAGTGATGGCAGATGAAGTGATCCATGAGGTAAAGAAATCAGGTTGTCAAGATTTAGTTCTCAAACTAGACTATGAAAAAGCCTATCATAGAGTTAACTGGGATTTTCTGTTTGAAATTCTTTAGTCTAGAGGATTTTGCTCCAAATGGATTCTTGGATTAAGAGTACGTTGTTTAACAGCACGTTCTCCGTGAGAATCAATGATACTACTAGGGATTATTTCATTGGGAGAAAAGGGTTTAAACAAGGGGACCCGCATTCTCCCTTGCTGTCTAACTTAGTGGTTGATGTTTTTACAATTTTTTTGAAAAAGGTTGCTTCCCAAGATTTAATTTTTGGGCTTCTGCCCAATGTGATTCCGGGGGAGGGAGGGGGGGGGGTAGTAAGTCTGCAATATGCAGACGATACTATCCTCTTCTTGGAAAATTCTGTTCATAAAGCTAGAAATTTTAAGTGGTTTTTGTCATGCTTTGAAAACCTTTCTGGGATGAAAATTAACTTTCACAAAAGTGACTTGATGACGATAAATGTTGAGGATGCAGTTGCTAATGAAATTGCCTAGATTTTCTGTTGTAAAAGGGGATCTTTCCCAATCAAATATCTAGGAGTGCCTTTGCACCATGACAAGCTGAAAAGGGAAGATCTCCAACCTATTATTGATAGGATTATAAAAGGCATATCTGGTTGGCTTGGGAGATATCTCACTTATAAACGGAAGATCATTCTGCTGTGTGCTTGTTTGATTAGTATCCCTGCCTATCTTATGTCTGTGATCAAATTTCCTAAATGGGCAATCAATGTTATCAATTCCCAGATGGCACACTTCTTTTGGGGAGATGTTGGTGGCCAACACAAGTATCATTTAGCCAACTGGGGTTCGTCACTAGGAAGAAAGAATTTGGGGGTTTGGGGATACCCAACATTAAAGAATTTAATATGGCCTTACTTGCTTCATGGGGGAAAAGGTTTTTTGGTAATACTGACTCAAATTGGAAAAAGGTTATTTTACATAAGTATAGGGTTAACTCTCCCAACCTCCTCTGGGCAAAAGGTGATGGGGGCTCTACCTTCTGGAAGAGCATCACCTGGGCTTTGACAACTGCTAATTTTTTTTACAGATAGAGACTGAGTAATGGTGAACTAATTAGCTTCTGGCATGATATTTAGATAGGGGAGTGTTCCTTAAAGGTGCAATTCTGGGATCTATTTTGCATTGATAATCAAACTGAGTGCACTGTGGCTCGGGTGTGGGATGGATATGACCTTAGATTGACTTTTAGGAGATGTGTTGATCAAGGTGGTTTAGCTCACTGGAGACAGCTTCTTGATGTTGTTAAGCAGCATCCATTGATAGCTGATACTGATACACCAGTTTGGTCTTTGGAGTCTAATGGATTATATTCAGTTAAATCATTCTATAAACATATTAATTTTGGAGGGACAACTTCTGCTATCAGAGATGATCTTTGAAAAATTCTATGTCCCCAAAAAATTCATGTGTTTTTATGGCTGTGTGTCCACAACAAAAGCCTAACTAGAGATAATCTTGCAAAAAGGAGAGAAATAGAGGATCCATCTTGTCTTTTCTGTGCTGAATATGAAACTGTCCAACACTTGTTATTTGACTGTGTGGTTGCTCAATATGTATGGAACTTTGTCTCTGACTTCTTTGAGATTGATAGAATCACTAACTTTGAAAATATATATGCCTTCTGGCATGCGCATAAGAAAAAACCTGTGGTGAATATGGTGATTGCTGCTACCTTGTGGACCTTGTGGAGACTGAGAAACAACTTTTGTTTTCAGGGACAGAAGTGGAAAAACGTGAACTGCATTCTTGCAAAACTAAGCTGCTATTTACATCAGTGGGAAGTTCTCTGCGACGATGCTCAAGCAACCCTGCTTCAACGATGCATTCTTCTATTCAATGGCGGAGCTACGTTAGTAGCTGCCCCCCCCCCCAGCCTGGTTAAAATATGTGAAAGAATTCTTTTTTGGAGGAGATGATTAGGAGAGATAAAGTCTTTTGGCCCCCCAAACATCTCTATTTTGCATTTGGCCCCTCCAAAGGATCTTACCAAGCTCCGCCATTGCTTCTATTGGACAAGCGGCGTGGAGATGCGAATCGCGTGGAAATGAGACAAGGAGGGGCCACATGAGCTAGAGGAATGGAGAGGTTGAAGCTGGTGCTCTCATCTAAAGATCCTCTTTGGCTTCGCTTTTTGCTTTCTTACGCTCATGAGGTCGGTAATAAATAAGGTTAAGATAGCTTTATGTGGAGAGAACTTCTGCTCTCAACTCTGGGTGATGTATTCCCCTGTAGCGTAGCTTTTATTCCCTGGTGGTGCAAGACTTGTACTGACTGGCTTTCGTTCTGCTTCAATC